AGTAATGACATAAATTAATAACAGTTGGTAATATTATATTGAGAGGATGCTACACGAAATTTGTTGTCTCCGTCTTATAAGTGCGTAATATAGTAAAAATGTAATWCTCAACAGAACACGTTAACACGTTTAACACCGTTAGTTAAAAAATTAGAGTTAATTGATTTCTAATAAAATTTAAAGGTATGATAATTATCTAAGGCATGCATTTAAAGTGAGTTATTAGTATTTTAAAAATGTAAATTGTTTGCACATTATAAGATATTCATAACTCGCAATAATATTAAAATATAATAAAAAGCGTATGATATACTCAAGAGTTAAGATAATAATCATTATCTTACCTTTTGATTTTATGAGAGCCAAGAGGTCACTCTCATTTTTGAAACTAACGGAGTTAAACATGATCTGCTGAGCCTAAAATTTGTTGTTGTCAATTTGTCAGATGTAGACAAGAAATGTCCGTGACTTTATGAGTTATAAGTATTTAAAGTTTAGATTAGCAGTGGAGTGGTACGGGGTTACCCCGCAAAATGTTTGTCCACTACTCCGCTTATCTAAGCGGATACTACAAATATTGTATGAATTACAGGTATTAAGTATTAATGAATAATAAAATAAAAGTATTTTTAATTAATATCGTACTAAAATAAAATAAAATTACAATACAAATATGAAATAATAATACAAATAATACCTTCGAACTTAATCCTAATGTGTCTAAGTGAAATAAAAATTAATTACTTGATTCGCAAAATGTATTTGCAAATGTTATTGTTAAAGATAATATGTCAACCTTGTGCATTATAGACATAATATTATAGTGACTCAGAATATAAATATAATATGGGCTCAATGGATCAATTATTTAGGAAATTAATTATAATAGAATTCATGGTCATGAAAATTCAAAACTAACTATTTAGGTAATAAGTTAAGTGTAACCTTACCATTTGAATAATTCAATAATACGGAATAAAGCTATGATATCCAGGATAATCATTATCATAATATGAAGTAAAATTTAACCTAACCTAAATAATATGTCAAATAAAATTATTTGTACTGATTACGAAAACACATTAACCTAGTTGAAGGCACCAGCTATAAGAAGTACACAAGTACAACTAATTTTCATGATTTTTTACGTAACACAGTAACAGTCTTCTGTTTTATTATCGTCTATTATTACCGCCCATTAGGCGGCATAGATTTTGCACGTGTTACTGTAGTGTGTGAGGAATTACAGAAGTACARAACATTCTGGCAAAAATTAAATTCATTTCAATTTGAGCTAGGGACTCTTAATTCTGGACAGCAAACAAAGGCAGATAAACAAACACYATAACAAACGATTTAAGAAAAACATGGCTTTGTACCTATAATACTATGAGTATATTAGATTCGGAATGCGTACGGCGTACCGTCTAGGCGTAGTGCATACACYGGAGTGCAGGACTGCCGACTGCACAACAGCACAACTGCAGCTGACGGACCCCAGACGAAAGACAATGATGATAGTTTAATGGCCCTAGAGCAACGTTGCCAGCTGTTGGAGACCCGACGAAGTCGTAGTTAGTAGTTACACCAGTACCACAGATACACGCGACGTTGCCGCGTTGTCCGTAYGCAATATAAAAGTTTCGTGATGGGTATTATTCCGCGGCAATGGTACATAATAATATTATTATATTGTATAACTGTGTGTACAGTTACATATTACATTACATATTTTATAGTGGCGTCAGTCAGTGTGCTCCAGGAGAAAGAGCCGCCGGGAAAACATTGTTACGTAACGAAGAATAGTATAATTATACATAGGTAACAAACGCCTAATAAATAATAACTAATAATACTATTCAATTATAATGATTATTGATTAGTTATTATTAATTATTCGGCAGCGGGGTTGATTTTCTACAATATGAATAATTATCGACAAACATTATTTCGGGCAGGGACAAAAACAAGATGATTTTTTTTTAAATTTTATCATGGGACATAAAGAGTTTAAGGCTAGTTTTTATAATGTTCTAACCGAACAGTGTCCGTTWACTTTAACCGAACATTGTAAGAATGGCCCTAAATACATTAGATAAATATTAATATTAAATACCAAAAAAACTTGAATATGCAAACATAATAATTCATWATACTATATGCAATTAATTATATTATATGATATTATACATTTTAAAATAATTATTATTTGTACTTTAATATTAATTTAAATCCTTAAGCATTGCTTACACTGCACGG